AGTATTTCTGGCTGTGGTCTGAATTTGCACTTTCAAAAATGTCTACTGAAAAGCCCCAAACTCACAAATAAAACTTGCCAAGTGACCATCCACCACATGCACTCACCATGCCAGACATCGGGAGATGCAGCGGTGTGATCAGGAGAGGTAACGAGTGAGTACCCCCCACATACATTAACTCTCATTTCACCTTCACAGCAACCCTATAGCTCTAGCACTAACGTGATCCCCACTTTACAAAGAAGGAAACTACAGCACTGAGATTAAGAAACTGTTCCAGGTCGCAACACAGCAGTAGAGCTGGAATTCAAACTCGGGCGGAATTTCTCCTATTGTGGGTGTTTGACATTATTAAAGCCTCTGCAGGACCTTGTCGACCTACCAGACAGTGCATTTCCCAGTCTTTCCCACACTTTTTCCTAAGTGTGGGCTTAGCTACAGTCCGAAGCTCTCAATCTGGTGATGCTATTCTAAGTGACCTCCTTGTTTTCCAAGTTCCAAGTAAACACCTTTGCAGATGTATCACATTAACTTCCAAGTTTTCATAGCATTTGGCAAGACTGTTGTGTTATCTTAAAGAAAAGTAGGTGGTTTTGCATCCCTGTGTCATTACTTCCCCTGGAAACGGGACCCTGAGCAAGAACAGTGCCTGGTAAGATGGCACTGCCTGGACAAACCCAGCTGAGGGGCAGCTGGGGGGTCCCACTTGTCGATCCACGAACTGCAGAGCTGAAAATCGTAGCTAAAGCAACTTAGACAAGCCCTGAACACATCCTATGTTAAAGAGCCATGTTCAAAAACAATGTTGTCTTCTCTTACCCATAAACTCATTCCTAGCTGCTTGAATCTTGTCCCCCTAATTGATAGTAGACCAGCAGTGTCAAACTCATTTTCACTGGGGGCCTTCCAGTTGCCTTCAAAGGGCCGAATGTAACATTAGGACTGTATAAGTGTAACTGCTCCTTAACAGTTAAGCGAGAGCTCAGCGCTGCTGCTGGGTAGAAACAAGGTGCGGGCTGGATAAAACAAGGTGGAGGACTGGATTCAGCCCACAGGCCTTGCGTTTGGTATAGTATAAAGTATATGACCACTTTATACTAGTGGTCTAGTATAAAGTATATGACTTTGAACTTAATCACATGCCATTGCATGTTGGTTACAGTTTCAAAGGCCTTGGTCTAAAATTCAAGTCTGTAAACTGGGACCAGAGACCGTGGCTCATTTTCTAGGACAGTTTGAAGCTCATAATAGATGTTCAATAAATCCTTAACAGATCAAAAAAGTTAACTAGGATGTTTACTAGACAGACTCGCTTAGTAAAAATTGGATTTTATTGACATTTCCTACATACAACATATGTATTCCTTTTTCCTAGTTTAAAAAAGCTTTTAACATCTCATTTTATCGATATAAGATATAATAAAGGAAAGGTAAACACAAAACTTTCATTCAAACTATCTGGTTTGGGAGATAGAGAGGAGGAAAATCATCTTGTAGGAAAAGCTTTAATAGCCACAACAGGAGTATCGCCAGGATACGTTCATATGCTTACTTGGACTACAGTAAGTTCAGTTACCGGTAGATAAATCACACCCCACTGCTGAAATCTTAACTGGAAAAGTGCATGCCCTACGTCAGATCCTAATGCTGAGTAAATACGACCCCTGTCTGGCTGTCACTGCCACTCATTCCATGCGTTTATTGAATTTGGGGTATGGCACCATGCAATTGGGATAGAGAGGTCTCTAGAAACAGACTCTGGTTAAAATAAAACCCTATAAAGGAGGAAAGCTATACATGTACAATCAATTCTGTGTATAACATGAGACTATAAAGTCAATTGTTTAAGACAGAGTTCAAGGGCAAGGGCAATTCAGAAAAACCACTGATCATGGTGGATGCAGGGAGTTTTCTATTAAACTGTCTTCTGAATGTACAGTCATCTGAACTGACAGCCCTCTTCCTTCCTTAGACCCCAAAATCTGGAAAGTTCAGCCTCATCTGTGGACACCTCTGGGATGAGGGAAGGGCCCAGACTTTGACGTTGGACAAACCTGGCTTTGAATGAATCTTGGCTCTCACACGTATTAATGTTGTGACCCTGGGCAGGTTTACTTAATCCCTCCGAGTCTGGGTTCCCTCCTCTGTAGAGCCAAGAACACAAATGCTGCAGTGTGGCTTCGAGGGTTCGAGATAACATGCAAAGTGCATAGAACAGGGATGAATACATAGTCCTCAAGGGCCATAATGTGACATATTACAAAAGGCTAGCAGAGAGCTGGGCTGCGTAGGTGAAGCCATGAAGAAATGCACAAGGGTGGGTGGCAGCGGGGAGAACAAAGATTATTCTCAACCAGCTTTTCATCTCCATATCTTTTCAGGCAGGAAACCAGATTTATTATGTCTACATAGCCATTTTAATATTAAAGCCATCCTCTATATCAATAATGATTTTAAGTCATTTGTTAAAAAATCGCAAGTTCAGAAGTAACTTCTGGAGTCCTTTCTCTTGTGCTAAAGCTCCCCACTGAGACATCTGGTAACGAGTGGACTCCAGAGTCAGGTAGCATTGGCCGAGCACTCAAGCTTTGGTGTGGTACCATCAGCTTTTCTCAGCCTGGGTTAAGTTGAATGTGGTAGAAGGGCTAACAACTCGTCCATCTGCAGAGGCCTCTGCCTCCACGAGCCTGTCTAAATGGGTTTGTGTCATGACCTGAGTTGGGGACCCTGGATTCTACAGCAGATGCCCCCTCAGCCCACAGCTTTAATGCACCTCTCATTAGCTGCAGGTGCTGGGTCAGGAGGTCTGAGACTCTAACCAGCTTCCAGATGACGCCCATGTGGCTGGTTTTCAGACTATGGTCTAACTAGCTAGATGTCTACAGGGCCAGGACAATCAGAATTCACAAATCAAGGGACACACAGTATTCCATTCTTAGGGTTCACAAAGAAAATGGGGGGCAGCAGCAGCCCACCAACTCTGTCTTTAAGAAATTACTAACTTGGTGGGGTGTACTCCTTGGTAAGCATGAGTGAGGCTTCTCAGGCACTGGAAATGCTCCACATTGTCTCTGAGTGGAGGCTGCCTGGATGCATGCACTTCTAACCAAAGGGTTTGACCTGTGTGCTTACTGTCACCTATAACTCAGGTTGGGGGAAAAAAAACTAAAATGGAAAATGAAGAAATGAGAATGTAAAGGAAAAAAATCACTGCCTTATGGAAGTAACGCCAATGAGCACACAGAGCTCTCGACTCCCATGAAGGAAGTATCTTAAACCCAAATAACTTAATAGTCACAGGGGCCACTTTCTCCAACTAGAAATATCCTCTTTCATTGCTCTTAATGAAAACATATCAAGCACTGCTAGTGTCTCTCATTGAGAGTCTAGGTGTGAAAGAAACCCTGTTTGAAAAATCTGGGGGCTGTGGGGAGGGGACACCATGACAGCCTAACAAAGGAAGCCAGCTTAGCGCGCTCATCAGGCACCCCCCGTTCCTGGAGATTGGACACGCATTCCGTAACTGCCGCTGATTTACGTGCGGTCTGGCCTTCAGGAATGGAACAAACGAGCAAACCATCTCAGGGACACTGTCCTCATTAAGCTAGAGGCTCTAGACAATGGGGAGAGGAAAACAATGCATCCAAAGAAACACTGTGGTCCTGTGGGTGACACACAGGCCCGGACCCAGGCGAGCAGTTCCGGTGCCAGCACCACCAGGCCCCCTCACCAGCTGGGCGACCTTGCTTACCCAGGTAACCTTTCCCACTGAACCTCAGCTGAACGCACCTCCCTCGTCCTCCTCTAACCTGTGCATGTTGTTTGGTGGTCACCACCCATGTCCCAGGAAAGGCAGCCCATCCCAAGAAGTGACCTGTTGAGTCACCTACAAGGTCATCATCATTCCATTGCCCAGGACAGATTTTAAAGCATGGTAGTGATGTACTGATGGTGTCTCTGTACCACTAAACTGAACAGCCCTGAACCACTTACACCTGAATCTTTGAGCACATGCAGTCACGTCTCTTGCAGCTGAAAACTTTGTGGTTGATTTGTGTGCTATAACATTATAAATAGCAAAACTGCCTATAAAGGTCACTCCCGGGGGTTGCAGCGTTACCTAGTACAACCCAGTACTTATCTTGGCACCCCAAACAGTCTATGGTTCCCAGAGACAGAGTGCGGTGTGCGCGTGGGATCCCAGTACCTTCCACAGCCCCTTTAAAAAGCAGGCAGCTCATAAACGCTTAGGGGTGCGTGCCTGCTCCATCCAGCGAGAGCGGGCAACAGAAGCCAAGACTTCAATGGTGAAAAACACATCAACCCTCACCTCCAAACAGCTGCGAGCAGCGGACAGCGCCTCCCTCCTTTTCTTGAGAGTAAAACCACCTGGGGAGCATTTTCCCAACTACAGGCTCCCTTTCTCTATCCAGGCTGAGTTTGAACAAGCACCTAGGTGGGCCCGCGGACCGTATTTTCGGAAGGCTCCCCCTCTGCCCGACAACCTCGACGTTTTCTTCTTTTCACTCAACACACCCATATCAACTGCCTGCAATCCTCCCCCCCCCGCCCCCCACCGCTTTGCCCATGGAGGCGGGGACTGTATTACACTCTGTCCCTGCAGAAGGTCACAAGACCGCGGAGGGCCAAGGATTTACTTGTTGGCGTTGCATTTTCAAAACAAAACAAAAATTCGTCTTTGCCTTGCTGTTTACACCCACAGTTCAATCCACTTTCCTTATAAACTTTCCATCTTTTCCTCTGCATTCCCTCCACGCCAGTATTGCAAAGACCAGTGAACAGCCTCAGGATCTTAGGATGCAGACTCCAGGGGCAGACTCCAGGGTGCCCATTGTCGCCCCGGCCCAGAAATCACGTACAAACGTTTGCACCACGGAGACCTCCTCCAGAGCGCCCCAGCACCACCTTGGCCGCCTGGTCCCCCAAACCCGTCCTTTGCAGCGCCACCCTCCCACCAGCCACGCGACTCCGAGGCTTACCTGAAACACGTGGTGAGCTCGCCCGAAGCCTTCAGACACGGGTATTTGGTCGTGGTGATTTTGTTTTCTGAGCAGACTTCTCTACGAAGAAAAGAGGCAAAGTCGTTGGCTCTCCGCGTGGGAGCGACAGCCAGTGCGCGCTGGGGGATCTGCGTCCCGGAGCTCGGAGCAGGCTCTGAGCCCCGAGCGCGGACGCCCAGCGAACTCCGGGGTCAGGGGCGGGCCAGGCGAGGGTCCAGCCAAGGGAACTCAGCCCAGGGCAGCAGTAGCTGAAGAAGCAGATCCCTTGAGAGTAGCAGAAACGCCGGGTAGGGCATCTCGGTTGGGGGAAGCCCAGGCTGAGGGCGAGGTTGTCACGGGGGGCCGGGTTTAGTGTTACCCGGGACAGTTGAGCGCCCAGCGGATGACTGACGGAGCGAAGGTGCGGGGATCGCTGCGGAGGTGGGGGACACCGGCTGCACCCCGACAGCCCGGCGTGCACCAAGCAGGAGCTGGCAGTGCTTACCTGTCACTGTTCTCGGGCTCCTCGCGGTAGCTCCACGTGTGTCCCAGAGCCAGGAGCAGCAGCAGCGGACCCAGGCTCTTGGCCAGCTGCCCCCTCGCCGCTCCTCCCCGGCTCGGAGGCGGCCGCACCATCAGGGACGCTCCCGGCTTCTTCCCGGCGCCGGAGCCCTCTCCCAGCCCTGCACCCGGTTCCTCCGCGGCCGCCGCAGCCGTCCCTCTCCCCGGCAGGGGGTGCTAGAGGGCAGGGGCTCTTGCGCCACCTGTGCGAGGCAGCGGGGCCCGGAGTTTGCGAGGCTGGGCGTGGTGGGGGGCAAAGTAGCAACTGGGGTGCAGAGTGCAAACTCCGTAGACCCGCAGGTGGGCGCTGCTCGCGGAGCGGCTGGTTGGCGCGAGGGTCGCAGGGTCCAGGTCCTCTCGCCCAGCACTGGCGCGCCGAGCTGACAGACTTGCTCTACTCAGCTTTGGGCTGCGCCCTCCCTCTCGCCTCTTCCTGGGCCGCGAGGGAAGGGCTGGGTGCGGAGAGCAGGCGGCTGCTCGCATTTTACAGCAGGGTCGCCCGACCAGGAGGAGGAGGAGCCGCTTTTCCCCGGGGGGGGAAGGGGGGGCAGAGGGGTTAATACTCTTCCTTCCTGTCGTCAGTTGATTTCTAGTGACCAGAGTCAGGACGTTTGCTTTCTCGCCTCGAGCGCCTGCCCCGAGTTCTCCCGCCGCCCAGTTTTCTCTGAACGGAGGAAGGAGACGTGGAGAGACTGCGGCTGCTCTCCCAAACTGCCTTGCAAACCTGAGATAGCACGATCCCCAGACTGTCATTAAAATCCCTTAGAAGTCCTCCGGTCGCTCCTTTTACGAGCCGCTACCTTCTTCCTAACCGAGATCGAAATAAGGAATGAGCTACTGAGGCCTCTTTCTGGGGACTTTAAATCCTCTTGCCCTGAGCTGCTGTAATGCTGTTTGAATGCCACGCGCACACGTGAGAGCTGGAAACTCCTGGAAGATCAGGGGAGAGGGTGAAGTCCCCTGACCCGCCCCCGTTAACACCGTGGTGTTTAGGGGCAGCCTGAAAAGCAGGCTGGGGGAGGGGAGTCAATCAGCTCCTTTGGTGGGGACTCAGCTGTAATTCGTATAGGTCTGCGTCTTAACACTTCATCGCACACGGGGAGTTTCTCTGCCTGATAAAGAGAAACTCATGATGGAAACGTGCTGTGCAGAGCCCAGCAAGCAGCCGTGGCCCAGAGGGAGCTGGAAGAGCAAGAGGCTGTAAGGCCCCACCTCTAACAAATGCCCAGCTCTGCACCTCCAGGACGATGAGATGAAAGGTAGCCGGTTCACAAGTTACCGGTGTGCAAATTAGTTAGGTGCACAAGTGTTTTCATTCAAAATATTCTGATCTACTGAGAATTACCATACACTTCCCATACACCTTGACATTTTTAATAGCAATGGCAACCTTGCTCCCCTGTAGCATGCATCTATATTTTCCAAAGACTTTTTGCACATTTATGATTTTGTTAGATATTCAAGATAGCCCTTGAAGTGAGGAGTCTGACTTCCTAGTTCAGTGAGGTGCTTTTTCCCCCTGCAAATCTCACACAGACATGGGAGACAATAAAACACAAATAGCAAAATATGGAGCTAAACAAAATAAGTGAATTTTCATGTGGTAATTAAGAAGCCTCTGCAAAGCTTGCAAAACCTGAGAGTGACTGTTATGGAATTAGGGAAAAAGACAAAACCCACACTCGGTTTAAACCCAGGTTCTGGGCTTCCTAAGTGTGTGAACTTAGACAAGTTACTTAACCTTTCTGAAACTCAGTTTTCTCATCTGTAAAGTGGGGAAACCTCCCTCATAAATGCTCGTGAGTAGTGAATGGGGTGATACATATAAAGCATTTTTATAGTGCCGGGCATATATTGAGTGCTCAGGAGACATCGCTGTTATTTTTAGCATAAATTATTGTACAGGCTTTTCGGCTTTAACTTTTAAGCTTTCACTTTCTGGGTATCTTGGAGTTTATTTCACAACAGTTGTTTGGGTTTCTAAAGAGGCAGGTATCTTTCCGAGCACATGAAAAATAAACCCACTCTGGAGCTTATAGAAATTGTTATCACTTCAGATTGACCCACAAATATGTTTATTCTTCATCTTGCAGGGAAGAGGCCATTCTATGGCAGGTCCTGATTTTATTTTCTTACCAACTGTTCTATTTTGATATCTTTTTTTCTGATCTTTACTCCTTTTGTTTTCCTTCAGTTGCATGGTGAATGTTAATTCCACAAATAATAGAGAAGGGTGTAGGAGATTAGCTATCAGCTTCATTAAATAGTTAATAAGCCACATCTGGGGACATGCAGGCTTGCAGAGAAAGCAATTCAGGCTGCAAATGATAAAAGTAACTATGCACAGCTGTGTGGCAGAAGATTGGGGACAGAGCCAGCTTTGCCACCTCCCTAGTATGAGCCCCCTACCCTGAGCACAGATCAGAACGAGGCGTCAGGGAAGGTGCTGGGGCCCAGTGAACAGCCCAGGTTTGCCCAGAAAGGCAATCCGGAGGGCGGGTCATCAGAGTGTTTCTGGAAGACATGAGCTGGAGCAGAGACCTTTTGAAAGCCTGTGCCTGGAGGCTTGGAACTTAAACTAATTGGCAGCTCCTGACGGCATGACATTGGGTGTCCGGCTTGAGGGGCTGGCTGGAGAGCAAATCGGAGCAGAGGGAGGTGAGGCGGCCATGTGTGGATACCAGTCCCCTGCGAAAGTAAACTCTCCTCTGAGAGACAAAGCCTGTGTCTGCTCAGGCTGCAGCCCCAATGGGACATGTCAGAATGAGGCTGAGTGTAACAGGGAGGGTCATGCTGATTGGTCGGAGGTGAAGTAAGAGGATGAATCATTTCTTCAGATCTTTAAGGACAGCTCTGAGGTCCTTTCCAGCATCCCTCTGTCTGGTCGCATGGGAAAGTAGCCAGGCGGTTGCTCCAGGCCTCAGGAGCCAAAACATAACTTAGGTCAAGATGTTATCTTCAGCCTGCCAGAGGCCTGGACCTTGTGACAAATATTGAGGTCCCCAGCTACCGCCCCCCAGGGTTGCTGATTACTCGGAGAAAAGGCTAGGTCTGTAGAAACAGAGATGATTTCTAGAGCCAAGATTTAAAACTAAATGTAATCAAAGACACCAGGCCCCCTTGATTTCAGCCTCATTTACAAAACACTAGATGAGCCGACCCACCCCCTGCCTCTCCCAACAGAGCGTTACAAAGATTGATGCCGTGGACCTAAATGTCCTGGGGAGGCCCTGTATGATTATTTCTTTTCAGCACACGGCTCTCCGCGGCGTTTTCCACACCGACCTGTCAGCTCCCCTGAAACAAACCAGAGGGTGCATAGTTATACAATTTACCAGGCCCTGGGCTGCAGGCCTGCGTCAAGGGCTTGAGGGCACCGACCATGCTGTGTATGAGACCCCCTGGCGGCCCCCGTTGAGGACCGTGGAGTGTTGTGTGGGGAAAGTGGGGTGGGGGGGAGATGGGAGGTCAGGAGAGAATACAGAAGCCAGAATGCTAAAAAAAAAAAAAAAAAAGAGAGAGAAGGAAAGCTAGGCATAGAACAGAGAGTATCCTTCTAAATAAAACCAATGACCTCTTCCCCTCATTTTTTTTAGCTTGTACTTATTTTTTAATTGAGGCAAAATGGACATATAACTTATTAATTTCAGGTGCACAACCTAATGATTCCCTCGATAGAGAGGAATAATCACTACAATAAGGTCAGGTGACATCCATCACCACACAAAGTTACAACTTTTGTCTTGAGATGAGAACTTTGAAGACCTATTCTTCCAGTAATTTTCAAATCTCCAATACAGGATTATTAACTATAGGCACATGCTGTGCATCCCAGACCCATGACATTTATTTTATAACTGGACAGTTGTGTCCTTTCACTGACTTTGCCCGCTCATTGTTAAGAGGCTCTAGCATCTCATTTGGAGAAAGTCAACACAGTACTAGAAAAGAGAGATCAATAAAATAATAATAAATTACTCTTTAAAAAAACACCAGCTGTTGAAGGCACAAATCATTTCACTAGTATTTGTTTGTTTTATATTTTCCTAATTAAAAGGATTTCTGGTGGCTGACAAAAAACACATACTATTTTACAATATATATATTTCTTTATATATTATATATAGTATCGAGTAAGACTGAATAAACCAATTAAGGCAAAGGGAAAATATTAGGGTCGAACAATAAAATGAAGCTGCAAACCCGAGGTCCGTTGGCAGGATTGTGAAAGCAGAAAGTCCTGTGCTGTCTTTCAAGCAGATCACAAATCAAGTCTCAGATTCTCAGGAGTCCATGCAGGGTCACTGTATGATCGATTACAAGATTCAAGGTAGCCATAGAGGAAAAACCTATAAATTCCTTTAAAAAATTACATATTTTTTCCTGTAGGCCTTCCTGAAATGTTACAACAGCTCTCTACTGCCAGGTGCAGGTCTTCTGCAGAAACAAGACTTGGCAAGTGTGCGGAGAATTCCCACTCACTTGCGTGTTATAAAACATCATACCTCAACAATGAACAGGCTGCCTTGATACCTTTCCCTCGGTTTCAGTTTTAATTGACATATGGCCAGGTCGGCTTAGAGAATCAGGGTTACACCTTGCAAAGTATTAAAGTGCACCAGTCTCCGAGCCATCGGGAGGAAGTGCTTGAGGCAAGAACAGTCAAACATGTTCATACAGATAGAGGGTTCTGAAGCCCTGCTTTTGGGGTGCGTGCATTTTCTTTGCATTCAGTCTGTTTTAGCTTTAACCTGCAGTAGATTGAAGCTCTGGGTCTCTGGAATTTTCTCCCAAGACAGGAAGAAATAGCTGATTCTTATATTTATGTCAAAATCACACCATTTTTTTTTGCCGAACTTTGAAATAAGTGCAATTTTAAAAGATGAGTTAGCCCTATGTGTATACAGGCTACTGAAAGAAAAAACTCTATGAACCACACAAGAAAGAAAACTTTCTTGTTACTTGGTTAAATGTCTCAAAATAGTCAAGAAAAATTATTCACGGGATTTGAATGCCACATTCTTGGAAGTTCTAATAGTGCATCCATGCCTGGCACTCCTCCCAAAGTAGGAGCTCCTTGAGACAATCGGTTGGCAGGCTTCTGGACCAGTGAGGGTTTCTAGAAGTGGGTCCTAACGCCACTCAATTCTGCAGCTCCCCCCGGGAGAAATGGAGATGAGACCGCAGGACATGCGGCTGGCGTGGCCCTGTCTCTCTAGGTCCCCACAGCCTGAACAAGGGAGGCTGCGGGCTGGCACCAGAGGTAGGGCCGCTGGCCCACACTCCACAGTCTCTGGTGGGGAAAGGCTCTTAGAATTCTCCCAGGACTTATGAACTGGCTCCACTGAGTGTAGGCGCTCCAATCCCAAAACTTCTCTGCTTTACTTGTGCAGGGCTGATTCCGTTTATATGCCTCATCCCCATGAGGGTAAAAGTTCTTGTTTAATATGTATTGAGAACTGGGACA